CAGATACACCTCATCCAAGCCCCAGCTCCTCTCCATGACACACCTGCCAATCCCTTCCCTCTCCCATGGCTAGTGCTCCCAAGATGCAGAAGTCTATGAAGGTGCAGGCATCTGCTAACAAATCTCCAGGGAAGAAGAAGAGGGGAAAGGGCTTCAGACTCACCTTGATCCCAAGAAGATGGAGGAGGCAGGAGTGGATGAAGACACAGAGGAAATGGGGCTGCTTTTATACCTCCCGTGAACTGCCTCAGGCCCACAATCACTCTGTGCAGGCCGTAATTTTCCATCAGACTCACCTCAAATGCAAAATAGGTTTCCTAATGGCACAGATTTTGTTTTGGTTTCCATCAACTCTGCCATTTCATTTCCTCATTTTTGACATGCCTATTTTACCATACAGGCTACTTTCTAGTGGTGCTATGAGAGACCCAAGTAATACCCCAGCAGGATCACATCAGTATGGGCAAAAAAGGAGCCCGAGTGCAGGAGTGGTTGTATTCAGGTAGAGGACAGGACATGGCTTTGTGCACTTCAGGGAATGGTTGGTGATGTGTTTTGCAGGAAGAGGGCCTGCTCCTCATGGAGCTGCAATCACAGCAGAGCACCCAAGGTCCTGTTCATTAAGAATGCACCATAAGCTTCTCTCTTGTCCCTCCCTCATTGCTCCATCCAACGGTCACTGGTCTTTGCCTCCCCAGGCATCCAGGCTGTGCCAATGCTTTCAGCTGTCTGCCTTGATGCCATTACCACTTCCACTAACTTGGGAGGAGACAGCAACTGGGGGCCAGCTGGTGCACTCTGGTGCAGGGCTGCCACAAGGGGAGACCTAGACAGCCTGCGGGAATGGGCCCTCAGGAACCTCAAGGCAATCTAGAAGGACAAAAGACAGGTCCTGCACAGGATGGGGAACAAACTCTTGCAGCACTGCAGACTGGGGACTGAACTACCCTCTGATCCTGCGTCCCCTGGACCTCCTCTGAGTAGGTCTGCCCCCAGAGTAGGGTCAGACATGAAGGGTGGAAGGCAAGGGACACACAAGCCTCACCCTCCTGGCCAAAGAGATGGGGCTGTATGTAGGAGCTCTCCTGAGTGCTTTCTGGAGGGAAAGAAAGGCTTGCAGAAAACATCTTCCCCCTTGATGGGACTCGTCTCTGGGTCCCAGGCAATACGTCTTCTCCTAGCATTAGGGCTTCAGCACACCTCCTCTGCCATGTCCCAAAGCCCTCCTCAGGCAACAGAACAAGCCAGCACCACCGGGGGGACAAGGAAGCTCCCACTCAACAAGCGAGGGCTGGCAGGAATGGGCACTGCCACGCGGCTGGGCATGCTCAGGGAGGGGACTTGCTCACAAGGGCCCTGGCTACAGAAACACCTCCCAGACTCCATCAAGGAGGCAATGCATCCCTGCTGCATGAACAAAGCACTTCCCTGCCCTGCAGACATGGGAGGCAGCTGGGACACACCCCAGGAGGGCAAGGGAATGCCTTCAGCAGGCAAGCTTTCTGGGAGAGACTCTCCCTGCCCAGGACGAGTCATGCTCTAATTTGGGATTGGCCACGTGCCACATTTTTGGCATGAAGCCAAGCCAGAGTGCCTGCTGTCTGCAGGCCTGAGCACCATACGTGCCAAATGCCCTTCTGGCCCAGCAGCTCCATCTGAGCCTGAGCTCAAACTGTGCCACCCTCCAGGCAGCCCCAACAGCCATCACCCTGCAGCATGACCTTCTGACCAGAACTCTCATAACTCCAGAAGATCACAGGATCATTGGAAAACTTTGCACAATAGGGCATGTCTTTGGGTGCGCTGCTGGTCACAGAATGCATCCAGCCAAAGTGCATGGTACGGAAAGGAGAGTGGTGGAGCAAGACACTGTCCCCGTGAACAACTCAGTCCTCTGGTAGTGAAGGGGCCTGATTCCCCAGGACTTGCTGGGCATCATTGTGCTCAGGAGAGCAACCTTTGCCTTCCTCACAGCAGCTGACGACATGGCTTGCCTGAAGAGCCCAGGAGACAGCCACAAGAGGGAACAAGGCCAAGGATACAGAAAACATGTCATTAAAAAGGAGCTGTCTTGTGCCAGTTCATTTCAAAACTGCAGCACAGCCCATCTGCCTATGCAGGCAATGAGCTGTGACTGGTGGAGCAGACTGGGAGCCAGGCCAAGTTGTAGAAGGATGTGCTGTGTCCTCAGGCGAGGGAGGCTTTGGTCATCCAGGAGGGCTCTGCATAGACAGAAGGATATGCAGGACCCCTCCAGCACTTGGGACTCATCTTCTACCCCTTCTGACCTACTCTATGGTGGTTTTACTCAGCTGGGCAGCTGAGCTGCATCACAACCACTCTCTAATTCCCCCGCCTTAAAGGGAAGGGGGAGGAAATGCGATGAAAAGGGATCAAGGGTTGAGATAAAAACAGAGAGGTCTATCACCAGTTATAGCGACAGACAAGACAGACTCAGAATAGGGAGATTAATGTAATTTATTACCTATTACTAACAAGCTAGTGCAGTGAGAAACTGGAAGCAAACTAAAAACACCTTCTCCCCCAGCCACCATCTTCGTCGTTCTTCCTCCAGGTGGCGCAGGGGAACATGCAGTGGGGCTGTGGTCAGTCCGTAACATTTCGACTCAGCCCCTCCTTCACAGTAACTCTCTGCCCTTGTTCCAATGTGGGGTCCCTCCCACAGGATTTAGTCCCTCCTGAATTGATCCTGCGTGGGCTTCTCATAGGCAGCAGCTCTTCGAGAACTCCTGCAAATATGGGTCCGTACCACAGGGTCCATCCATCAGGAAGAAACAGCTCCAGCACGGGTTCCCCCACGGGCGGCAGCTCCCCCCAGAACCCCTGCTCCTGCGTGGGGTCCTGTCCACAGGCTGCAGCTCCGACCCAGGGCCTGCTCCACTGTGGTCCTCTCCATGGGCCACAGCCTCCTTCGGGCAAGGACCAGCTGCTCCACTGGGGGATCCTTCATGGGCTAGTGTGGAGATGTGCTCCACCATGCTACCCATGGGCTGCAGGGGGACAGCCTGTTCCACCAGAGGCCTCTCCACGGGCCACAGGGGAACTTCTGACTGAATGGAGTCAAATCCAGCTCTTGACGAGTGGTGCTCCCCAGGGTTTTTGGTGTTGGGGCCATCGTCTTTAATGTCTTTGTTTAAAGACATCATAGCCCTGGAGTGTGTCCAGAGAAGGGCTACAAAGCGGTGAAGGGTCTGGAGCGCAAGTCCTGTGAGGAGCAGCTGTGGAAACTGGGGTTGTTTAGTCTGGAGAAGACGAGGCTCAGAGGAGATGTTAGTGCCCTCTACAACTACCTGAAAGGAGCTGGGGGTTGGCCTCTTCTCACAGATAACTCGTGGTAGGACTAGAGGGAATGGCCTCAGGTTGCACCAGGGGAAGTTCAGGTTGGAAATGAGGAGAAATTTATTCTGAGAAAGAATAGTCAGACGTTGGAAGGGGCTGTCCTGGGGCGGTGGTGGAGCGACCATCCCAGGGGGTGTTTAAAGAAAGGTTGGCTGTGGTACTTGGGGACATGCTTTAGTGGATGATATTGGTGATAGGAGGTGCTTGGACCGGATGATCTTGGAGGTCTTTTCCAACCTTAATGATTTCATGATTCTGTGAGTCCGCTTTAGGACCTGGAGCGCCTCCTCCCTCTCCTTCTTCACTGAGCTTGGTGTCTTCAGGGCTGTTTCTCACTCCTCGCTGTTCCAGCTGCTGTTGTGCCGGAGTAGTTTTCCTTTTCTTAATTCTGCTCTCACACAGCCAGAAAAAACATTGCATATTGGCTTGGCTCTGGACAGAAGCAGGCCAGTTTGGAGCCACCTGAAACTGGCTCTTATCTAACATGGGGCAGCTTCTGAGTCTGCTCAGCGCTGAGAAAAGAAGAATGAGACAGGATCTTAATAATGTTTACAAATATCTTAAGTGTGGGAGATGGAGGGAATTGGCCAACCATTTTTCAGTGGTTTGTGGGGACAGGGCAAGGGGCAATGGCCAAAAAATGGCTCACAGGAAGTTCCGCACCAACATGCAAAAGAACTTTTTCATGGTAAGGGTGATGGAGCACTGGAATAGCCAGGCCAGGGAGGCTATGAAGTCTCCTTCTCTGGAGAAATTCAAGTCCTGTTTGGATGCCTACAAGGGCAACCTGCTCTAGGGAAACTGCTTAGGCAGGGGGGTTGGAACCGATGATCACTAGAAAACCCTTCCAACCCCTACAATTCTGTGATTCCGTGATTCTGGACACCTCTGTCAGAGGCCACCCCTGAAGAACCCCGTTACCAAAACCTTGCCACGGACACCGAATACACCCTCCAGCACTTAGGACTCATCTGCTGCCCTACTGACGTGTCCCCACTCAGGGAAATGCTTGACCTCTCATCCTGTTACTTAAAAGCAGATTCTGATGCCAAATGGGCAAATCAAAAATGAGGAAATGAAATGACAGAGTTGACAGAAACCAAAGCACAACCTGTGCCATTAGGAAGGCTATTTTGCATTTGAGGTGAGTCTGCTAGAAAATTACGGCCTGCGTAGAGTGCCTGTGGGCCTGGGGCGATGCAGAAGAGGTATAAAAGAGGCCCCATCTCGTCACTCTCTTCATCCACTCCTCTCACCTCCATCTCCCTGGGAACAAGGTGAGTCTTAAAGCTCCTCTCTTTCTCCTCCTTTACATCCCTGGGGATTGTCTCACAACATACCTGCACCTTCCTTCTCTGTTGGGTCTTGTGGTTGCTAGTCAAGGGGTCAGCAGGCGTGTCATGAAGTGAAGCTGTGGCTTGGCTGACATACGTCCCGAGATACGGGCTTCTTAGGGAGCTTATTCGGCCTGGACGTTCTTGCCAAGGACATTGGGGCTAAAGGAAAGGAGAAGGCTGAGGGCCTCCTTTCACAGCTGCCAGCTCCCCAAGTAGCATCTGCTGTTGCTCTCCAGTGGTGGGCTGGCAGACTGCTCCTCTCTCACCAACAATATTCCTCTGGGGCCTCACTCCCACCAGGTGCACGTCCTGCCCCGAGACATGTCCTGCTACAACCAGTGCCTGCCGTGCCTGCCATGCGGACCCTGTGGCCCAACCCCGCTGGCCAACAGCTGCAATGAGCCCTGTGTCCAGCAGTGCCAGGACTCCACTGTCGTCATCCAGCCCTCTCCCGTGGTGGTGACCCTGCCTGGCCCCATCCTCAGCTCCTTCCCGCAGAACACCGCCGTGGGATCCTCCACCTCTGCTGCTGTTGGCAGCATCCTCAGCTCTCAGGGAGTGCCCATCTCCTCTGGGGGCTTTGGCCTCTCCGGCTTGGGCAGCCGCTACTGTGGCAGGAGGTGCTTCCCGTGCTAAAGCTGCTGGTGATGGCCCGGGAGGAAGACCCCCAGGGACCCAGACGTTGGTAGCGGACTGGGCACAGAGCATAGGCTTCTTGTGTTCAGGGTGGCCAAACCTCTCCATCACGCCTTGGAAGAGGATGGCTCTCTCAGAGAGCATGGCCCATGTCTGCCTTTCCCCTCTTCCACTCTCTCCTTTCCCACCCGTGTCCTTGTTACTCACTGCAGCTCCACTGTGCTCTGAATCCCACAACGTCATCGCTGAGAGGACCTGCTGGCCCTTCTCCCACAGTGGAGCAGACAGGTGGCCAAATGGTAGCCTGCCCACCATGGCCACACAGCTCACACTCTCGTCTGCCCCTGGTGATTCCTGCACTTAGGCCCCCCCTCGGAGTGACCTCCTTTCCCCCGTTTGACTCTAATATTAAAGTTCTGCTGCATCCCAGCCTCTGCCTCTGAGTTGTCTTTCCCCTGCAGCTGCTTTTCCAGGATGCCTGGGGAGAGAGGTGTTGCTCACGGGTAGTTCTGGGAGCAGGTGATTGCTGATGCTCATTCTTAGCAATTATTAACACAGACTTGCATTCAATATGCTTCTTCATGCATCAGGTCACCCTCTGGATTTTAAATATGTCGTTACTTAGAGCTGGATGGATTTATCCAACGTAGTTGAGTGGCCTCTGTGCATTTTGGTGTGCACAGTGTTTCTTCTTCTCTGATAAGCACAACAGCATGAAGCAAGTAGTAAAGAACAAGGGATGACTAGGTCCTTGACAAGGTGGAGGGCATAGCTGCCCAGGAGAAGACAGGAAATCCCTTCCTAACAACAACACCGCAGAACTTGCTGTTCTTGGTCAAAGTCTGTCTTGCTACACAGCTCCAAACTGGGCACAGTGTTCCAGATGCGTTTGGAGGAGTGCCGAGCAGAGTGGGATTGTCACTGCCCTCAATGACACCAAGCTGAGTGGTGCAGCTGATAGAAAAGAAGGAAGAGATGCCATTCAAAGGGACCTCCTCAGGCTGGCGAAGTGGGCCTGTGTTAACCGCATGAGGTTCAACAAGTCTAAGTGCAAGGTGCTGCACCTGGCTCAGGGCAATCCCAGACAGGAGTACAGACAGGGAGAAAAACTCATCGAGAGCAGCCATGTGGAGGGAGACTTGGAGAGAGACTTTACCCTACTCTGCCCTCGTGAGGCCACATTTTGAGTAGTGAGTCCAGGTCTGGGGCCTCAGGCACAAGAACGATGTGGACTTCTTAGGGTGAGTCCAGAGTAGGGTAAAATATGATCAGACAGCTGGAGCACCTCTCCTCTGAAGAAAGGCTGAGAGAGCTCAAGAAGTTCAGCCTGGAGAAGAGAAGGCTCTGGGGAAACCTTGTTGTGACCTTTCAGTACTTAAAGGGGTCTCAGAAAAAAAGATTGAGAAGAACTTTTTACTTGGGTAGAAAATGATAGGGCAAGGGGTAATGGTCTTAAACTAAAAGGACAGATTTAGACTAGACCTTAAGAGGAAATCTTCACTGTAAGGGTAGTGAGGCACTGGAACAGGTTGCCAAGAGAAGCTGTGGATGCCCCATCCCTGGAGGTGTTCAAGGCCGTTCTGGATGGGGCCTTGGCCAATCTGATACAGCAAGTGGCATCCCTGTCTGTGGCAGGGGGCTTAGACTTAGATGATCTTTAAGGCCTCTTCCAACCCAAGTCCATGATTCTATAATTCTATCCTTCCATGATTCTATAATTCTATGATTCTTGAGCTCCTGACTATGCTTCTGCTCATACAGCCCAGGATGTCATTGGTGTCTTCGGTGTCTCGGAGCACTGCTGGGAGTCACTTCTCTTTGGGTGGGTTTACCACCCAAGTAACTTTTCCTGGACCAGCTTTTGGTCTGCAACCATAGAGGGGTTTTAAGATAGATGACGTGGCATGAGAGCAGGCTGGCAGGAAGTCATCTGCCAGACTGGGCTCTGGGTGACTGCGGTGATTCTTTGGAGAGCTCTTGGATGGCCCTTAGAGACACTCAGAAAGCACCCGCTGTCTCTCCTCCTGCCCTCAGTCTTTCCCTGCCTCCCTCTTCCCCACAAAGTTTTGCAGACAGCCCAGGGAACAGATGGAAGGAGTAGGGGGAAGACTCTGTGGTGGGTTGACCCCGGTAAGCATCTACGCACCCACCAACGCACTCGCTCATACCGCAGCCGCAGCAGGACAGGGGAGACAGTTGGAAGTCAAAGAGACAGAAAAACTTCTTGGTTTATATAAAGACATTTTAAGGAGGGAATGGGAAACGAGAGAGAAAAAGCAAGTGATGCCAAGGCTGTGCCTCATCACCTCCCACCAGAAGACCAATGTCCAGCAAGTGTCTGCAGGATGGCTATTTAGGCAGAACTGTCCCGCTGTTTTGTTGCCGGGCGTGATGCTCTATCGTATGCAACATCCCTTTGGTCGATTGGGGTCAGCTGTCCTAACTGTGTCCCCTCCTGAAAACTTCCCCGCCCCTAGCCTGCTCTGTGAGGGTGCAGAGGGGGAAACATAGAAGGCCTTGATGCTGAGCTCAACCGTTGGAGTGTCACCTCCGCTGTTTAGCCACACAATCAGAACACAGCACCATACTGCCTATGGTGAAGGCAATTGCCTCCATCACAGCCAGAGCCAGTACAGCCTGCTTCCCCCACTCCCTCTCCTGGTCTGCTCCCGGGCCATTTTCTGCACGAGCCTCCCCGCCCAGCACAGCTGCCCCCAGAGCAGAAGGAATTGCCGCCCCTCCTCTTGCCTCTCTCCCTCTCCCCTGCTGCCCCCTTCCCAGGAACCTGTGTGGCTGCTGCCCTCCCGGGGCCACCTGCAGCTCTGGCTCCTCACTGGAGGCCAGCAGTGGCCACATGCCACCTTCAGCAGGCTGTGCACTGAGGCCAATATGGCACGCCAGGACAGAGAGGCAGCAAAGCTGGGCCTGATGGCCAGAGGCCCTGCAGAACTCATGGGCACCTCCCTCACGTGTGAGTGACAGTGCTTTCCAAGGGGCCCTACTGCACACGGCCTCACCCTTGGAAACGTGAATGGTCCCCATGTGTCCCACATGCCCCCTGACGTCCCCAGGTGGTGTCTCGCAGCTGGTGTCTGAAGTGTCTGCAGGGGAAGGAAAACTCAGAGGCACAGGCTGGGATGCAGCAGAACTTTAATATTAGAGTCAAACGGGGGAAAGGAGGTCACTCCGAGAGGGGGCCTAAGTGCAGGAAGCACCAGGGGCAGATGAGAGCATGAGCTGTGTGGACATCATGGGCATCCTGCAAGATATCTATCTGCCCACTGCGCTGAGGGAGAAGGGCCAGCAGGTCCGCTCCATGATGACACTGTGGGATTCAGAGTACAGTGGAGCTGCAGTGAGTAACAAGGACACAGGATGAGAGGTCAAGCATTTCCCTGAGCGGGAACACGTCAGTAAGGCAGCAGATGAGTCCTAAGTGCTGGAGGGTATTTTGGGTTTCCGTGGCAAGGTTTTGGTAACGGCGTTCTGCTTTGGTGGCCTCTGTGAGAAATGTCCATCAGCACGTAGAAGAGGGTGGATGGGAAGAGAAGGTGTTTTTAGTTTCTCACTCTAGCTTGTTAGTGACAGGTAATAAATTACATTAATCTCCCTATTCTGAGTCTGTCTTGTCTGTCGCTATAACTGGTGATAGACCTCTCTGTTTTTATCTCAACCCTTGATCCCTTTTCATCGCATTTCCTCCCCCTTCCCTTTAAGGCAGGGGAATTAGAGAGTGGTTGTGATGCAGCTCAGCTGCCCAGCTGAGTAAAACCACCATAGAGTAGGTCAGAAGGGGTAGAAGATGAGTCCCAAGTGCTGGAGGGGTCCTGCATATCCTTCTGTCTATGCAGAGCCCTCCTGGATGACCAAAGCCTCCCTCGCCTGAGGACACAGCACATCCTTCTACAACTTGGCCTGGCTCCCAGCCTGCTCCACCAGTCACAGCTCATTGCCTGCATAGGCAGATGGGCTGTGCTGCAGTTTTGAAATGCCCTGGCACAAGACAGCTCCTTTTTAATGACATGTTTTCTGTATCCTTGGCCTTGTTCCCTCTTGTGGCTGTCTCCTGGGCTCTTCAGGCAAGCCATGTTGTCAGCTGCTGTGAGGAAGGCAAAGGTTGCTCTCCTGAGCACAATGATGCCCAGCAAGTCCTGGGGAATCGAGTCCCTTCTCACTACCAGAGGACTGAGTTGTTCACGGGGACAGTGTCTTGCTCCACCACTCTCCTTTCCGTACCATGCACTTTGGCTGGATGCATTCTGTGACCAGCAGCGCACCCAAAGACATGCCCTATTGTGCAAAGTGTGCCAAAGATCCTGTGATGTGTGTCCCAACTACCTCCCATGTCTGCAGGGCAGGGAAGTGCTTTGATCATGAAGCAGGGATGCATTGCCTCCTTGATGAAATCTGGGACATGTTTCTGTAGCCAGAGCCCTTGTGAGCAAGTCCCCTCCCTGAGCATGCCCAGCCCCATGGCAGTGCCCATTCCTGCCAGCCCTCGTTTGTTGAGTGGGAGCTTCCTTATCCCCCCAGTGGTGCTGGCTTGTTCTGTTGCCTGAGGAGGGCTTTGGGACATGGCAGAGGATGTGTGCTGAAGCTCTAATGCTAGGAGACGACGTATTGCCTAGGACCTAGAGACAAGTCCCATCAAGGGGGAAGATGTTTTCTGTAACCCTTTAATTCCCATCCACAAAGCATCAGGAGAGCTCCTACACACAGCCCCATCTCTTTGGCCAGGAGGGTGAGCCCTGTATGTCCCTCCTCCCTACCATCCATGTCTGAGCCTGCCCCTTGGGCAGACCTACTCAGAGGAGGTCCGCAGGCAGCTCTTGGGCAGCTTCTGGATACCTCTCATAGAGGATACCCAAGTAGAACCCCATTACCAAAAACATTACCATGGACACCGAATACACCCTCCAGCACTTAGGACTCATCTGCTGCCCTACTGACGTGTCCCCACTCAGGGAAATGCTTGACCTCTCATCCTGTTACTTAAAAGCAGATTCTGATGCCAAATGGGCAAATCAAAAATGAGGAAATGAAATGACAGAGTTGACAGAAACCAAAGCACAACCTGTGCCATTAGGAAGGCTATTTTGCATTTGAGGTGAGTCTGCTAGAAAATTACGGCCTGCGTAGAGTGCCTGTGGGCCTGGGGCGATGCAGGAGAGGTATAAAAGAGGCCCCATCTCGTCACTCTCTTCATCCACTCCTCTCACCTCCATCTCCCTGGGAACAAGGTGAGTCTTAA